TCAGGTAGTGTAAGTCCTCCAATTTTATTCTTTTTTCAAAACTATCCTGGCTATTCAAGATCCTTTGAATTTCTGTGTAATTTTAGAATCAGCTGGTCAATTCCTACTTGGCAAAGAAAACTTGCAGGGATCTTCACTGGAACTACATTGAGTCCATAGATCAATCTGGGGAGAACTGACATCATAACACAATGCATGAGTCTTCCAAACCATGAAAATGGTAAATCTCTCCATCTATTTTAGTCCTCTTTAATTCCTCTAAGCAATGTGTTGTGGTTTTCATTTTAAAAGTCTTACACATATTTTGTTAAATATATGCCTAAGTATTTCATGTTTTTTACATGATTGTAATGGCATTTTTCATTTCATTTTTTCAGTTGTTTATGCCTAGTGTATAGAAATACAATTCACTTGTGTATATTGACCTTATAACCTGAAAGCTTGTTAAAGGAACTTTTAATTTCAGTAGCTTTTTTTGTAGTTTCATAAGATTTTCTACATTTACTCATTCATGATCATGTTGTCTGTGAATAAGGATAGTTTTACTTCCTCCTCTCCAATCTTTAAATTTATGTGTATGTATGTATGTGTGTATAAAATATATAATTTTTTCTTATTACACTGGGTACTATGTCCAGTATAGTGTTAACCAGAAGTGGTCAGAAAGGACATCCTTGCTCTTTCCTTAAATTCAGTGGGAAACTGTTCAGCTTTTCACCGTTAAGTGTGATATTAGCTGTAGATTTTTCAGAGATGTCCTTTATTAAAAGGAAGTTCCCTTCTATTTCTACCTTTCTAAGAGTTTTCTTTTTTAAACATGTAAGGGTATTACATTTTCTCACAGGCTTTTTTCCTGTAGCTACTGAGATGATCACATGCTTTAAAAAATATTTTGTTAATATGATGAATTACATTTACTATTTTCTTCCTTCTACTTAATTTAGGTGTAATTTGTTCTTCTTTTTTTTAACTTTTTTTAAAAAATAAATTTATTTATTTATTTTTGGCTGTATTGGGTCTTCGTTGCTGCGCGCGGGCTTTCTCTAGTTGTCGTGAGTGGGGGCTACTCTGTGTCGTGGTGCGCGGGCTTCTCGTTGCGGTGGCTTCTCTTGTTGTGGAGCATGGGCTCTTCAGTAGTTGTAGCACATGGGCTCTAGAGCACAGGCTCAGTAGCCGTGGCACACAGGCCCAGTTGCTCCACTGCATGTGGGATCTTCCCGGACCAGGGCTTGAACCCGTGTCCCCTGCATTGGCAGGCAGATTCTTAACCACTGCACCACCAGGGAAGCCCTTTTTCTAACTTTTTAAAGAGGAAGTTTAAGGCAATTGATTTAAACCTTTTTTCTTTTCTAATATAAGCATTTAAAGCTATAAACTTCCCTCTAAGCACTGCTTTAGCTGAATCCCACAAATTTTGGTATGTTTTCATTACCATTCAGTTCAAAATATTTTCTAATTTTTCTTGTTCTTTCTTCTTAGATCCATGGGGTATTTAGAAATGATTTATTTCCAAATATTCAGGAGTTTTCTAGATATATTTTCATCATTAATTTCTAATTTAATTCTGTTGTGGTCAAATAACATAGTCTGTATGATTTCAGTCCTTTTAGATTTATTAAGACCCACTTTGTGGTCCTGCACGTGGCCTATCTTGATTGAACGTTACATGTGTACTTGATAACAATTATACTCTGCTGTTGCTGTGTATCACACTATAGCTATAGATGTTAATTGGGTCAAAATGTAACAAGCATTTCAGACTGATAGGTCTTCTTGATGAATATATCTTTTTAATTATTATCTCTGTTAATAATACTTGCCCTGAAGTTTACTTTTCATGATATTAGTATTAGCTACTCTAGTTTTATGATTATTATTTGAATGCATATCTATCTTTTCCTGTGCTTAACATGTCAATCTACAATTGTTCAGACACTGCTGGTATTTCTCTTTTTATCCAGAGGAAAAGCACAAATCATAAGTGTACGGCTCCATGAAATGCTCACAAACTGTGCACACCCGTGAAACCAGCCCAGATCAAGACACAGAGAGTTCCCACCAATCCCCCTTGAGTTGCCTCCTAGTTGTCCCCACCCCTCCAAGTAAAATGACCTCCTGACTTCTAATCTCAGAGACTGAAACCTGAAGCTTCTAAAAAATTGAGTTTCTGATATTTATAAATAAGGAAGTCTGCATTCCTGCCATCCTTTGAGAAATCAGATCCAGCAACCTTGGGTGTGCGTTCCTTTGAGGCAGCTGTGTGCTGAGGCAGGAGCAGCTGTCCCTTAGGGAGGGTGTAGCCTCTCTAGGCCCACCTGGCTCACCTCATTTTGTCACCTGCCTGGCTTGCTTATTTGTGTCTTTATATTTAAGGTGTGTTTCTGTGGAAAGCATATAATTGGACCTTGCTTTATTATTCAGTGTGACAATCTCTGCACTTTATCCTAAGTGTTTAGGTCATTTATATGCAATTGTCCATATGGTTAGGTTTAAATCTATCATCTTGCTATTTGTTTTTATCCTACCAGGTCTTTGTTCCTTTTTTCCTCTTTTCCTGTCTTTTTTTAGATTGAATTTTTTTCCATTTTATCTCCAGTCTATGTATTGTCTTATTAGCTATACATCAATATTTTTGAATGTTTACTCTAGGGCTTATTAATAGGGAGCTTTATGATATAATACTCTATCTTCAAACAATGCTATACCTATTCATGTATACCATAAGAACCTTTCAACAATATACATTCATTTTCCTCACTCAACCGTATCCTATTATTTTCATACATATCACTTCCAAATGTTATAATACCCATGTTATTACTTACACTTTAAAAAGTCATTTATAACCCTCAGCTAACATTATACTCAATGGAAAGCAAGACAAGGATGTCTGCTTTCACCAGTGCTATTTAACATGATATTGGAAGTTCTAGCCAGAAGGTTTAGACACAAAAAAGAAATAAAAGGCATACAAATAGGAGAGGAATAGGTAAAATTATCTCTGTTCACAAATGACATAATCAAATATGTAGAAAACCCTAAAGATTCCACACCAGAAACCAACTGTTAGAGCTAATAAGCAAAATTCAGCAAAATTGCAGGACAAAATCAACTCACAAAAATTGCCTGTACGTCTATACACTAACAATCTGAAAAGAAAGTCAACAATTCCATTTACAATAACATCAAAAGAATAAAGTACTTAGAAATAAATTTAACCAAAGAGGCAAAAGACTCATACACTGAAAACTACAAAGCACTGCTGAAAGAAATTAAAGAGGACGTAAATGAATGGAAAGACATTCCATGTTCACGGACTAGAAGACAATATTGTTAAGATGACAACTACGCCCGAAGTGATGTACAGATTTAATGCAATCCCTATCAAAACTCAATGGCATTTTCAGAAATAGAAAAATAAACCCATCCTAAAAATTCACATGGAATCTCAAAGTTTCTAAATAGCCAAAATAATCTTAAAATACTCTCCACTTCCTGATTTCAAAACATACTACAAAGCTATAGTAATCAAAACAGTGTGGTACTGGTATAAAGATAGACATATAGAAAAATGGAATAGAATAAAGAGCCTAGAAATAAGCCTTCATATATATAGTCAATTGACTTTTGATAAGTGTGCCAAGACCTTTCAATGGGGAAGGTACGGTCTTTTCAACAAATAGTGCTGAGAAAGGTACCACATGTAAAACTAGATATCCAACTTCCAATGATCTTACTTTATACCACATTCAAAAATTACTTGGATCAAAGATCTAAATATAAGAGCTAAAACTATAAAAACTGTTAGAATAAAAAACACAGGGGAGAGACTTCAAGATACTGGAGTATTTGACATCAAAAGCTAGGCAACAAACCAAAAAATAGGTAAATTGGACTTCATCAAATTACTTTTGGGCATCAAAGGTACCATCAAGAGAGTGAAAAGACAGTCCACAGAATGAGAGAAAATATCTGAAAATCCTATACCTGATAAGGGATTCGTGTTAACATTAATCTAATCATGCCTCTGGACCTAATTTCTAATTTACAAAAAAACAGGGGATGGAGAAACAAGTTAAATGTTAATTAATATGACTTAAAAAGCAGACAAATCCAGAACATGAGACATTCTAAAAGATAAGTGGCCTGGCAGGGGTATTGTGCAGGATTAAAAGGGACTAAAGAGACAACAAAAGACAATGCATGAACCTTGACTGAATCCTGGATTGTGGCTGAGTGGTGAGGAGAGAGCTTCAAAACACATTCTTAAGATAACTGGGAAAATATGACTTCATATATTTAGTGTGATAATAGTATTGTGGTTATGCAGAAAAATGTACTTAAGAAATGCATGGTGAAATAGTTATGGGTAAAGTGTGATGATGTTTAAAACTTACTTTTAAATATTTATGCCTCCTCACAAAAAAAAGAGAAAGAGATAAAAAATATGACAATAATGTCCAAATTGTCAAATTTAAGTGGAAGGTATATGAGTGATCATTGTACTATTCCTTCCTCTTTTCTGTGTATTTGAAAATGTTCAAAATAAAAAGCTGAGGGTAAAAAAGCTGTGGGCCACTAACTGTACAACTTGAAATGGTTAAAATGGTGATTTTATATTTTTATCTCAAAAAATTAAAACAGCTGTGGGTATTTGATGCTATGGAGCTATTACAGAACTGCTTAAACTGCTCTGCCCAGCTCCGTTCTCATAAACCAGGATGTAAGGGGCATCCCCTGGAGTTCTGTAATGCCATGACACTGGGTACAGTGGTGCACTCATGTTGAGGTAGAGTTAGAAGGAAACACACAATCTTTACACAGAATTGAAAAAAATAGGATAATATAAATTTTATGATAAATTTACTTTTATATAATTTAATTACTATTGTTAATTTTAGAGTTTATAGGAGGAAGGCATAATGACTAGGCCAAAAATCAAGCATAGCCTCAATTGGTTAAGAGTAAAATGTCAAAAGCAAACCAAACTGGACACACACCTAGGTTGATGGACGGAGGGGGTGGAGGTGGGAGAGGCTGGCCTTCTTTAATGGCTAGTGTACACTGCTTTGCTGATCGAATCGCAGTAATGAAGTCTTCATGTTGTTGTCTCCAGTTAGATTTTCTCATGGATTAAGGCTATAAAAAAATAAAACGTATACTAACCTAGACTATGTATCTCACCATTATAATTTTTTTTAAAGCTAGGATTTGAACTTACAAGAAACAGAACTGTGAAATTTGGAGAAAAAAGAGAATTTGTTTTCCAAAGGTACCAAAAGAGGTTTGGAAAATACAGTAATAAAATTTGCAAGTCACAATAGTGAGGGAAAACACAAAATAACAATCAGGAAAACAAAGAAATTACAAAACTTTAAAGGAAGACTTAAATGTAAGATTAAAAATGACTGTCTTCCAAGTTAATTGCTGGATTTAATGCTACTCTAATGAAAATATAAACGAGATTTTTTTGCCACATCTGGAAAGTATCTGAAATACATTTGGAAATCTAAGTGAGCATGATTAAAAAGAAAACAGTAAAGGTGGATTATACTTACATGACATTACACTGCATTATCAAGCAAAAATGAAACCAGAGAGCCAGAAAAAGGCTTTAATGTACTGAAGGAGATAATCAAGAACAGCAAGGAAGATATCGATAGTACCTTGGATTGAGGAGCCTTCCACACAGTGGGAATGTCAGTGCCCTGTAATCTTTGTTTTAAGGAATTGAAAGGTTTACGCTTTTTGTTGAACAGTTTTCTACGTATTGGTCCATGCCTTTCCTAGAAAAGAAGGAGTGGGGATTAAAATTTTTAACATGTACAATCACAAAGTTCGTAATGCCTCAGTGTACTCAAGCAGCCCCTGCTGCAGTGACTGGGTTGCACCTTCAGAGCCAAGTTCATTCTCTAACTCTCAAATCACAGCAGAGCAAATCCATCTGGCTCTCTTCACCCATGTTACACATGACGAGATATTGTGTTTGGGCAAGGTCAATAAAAGGCCTCTTCAGCTAAAGAAACTTACTTAAAATTTGGTCTTACATATTTAACTCTATCACTTGGGCTCAATGAATAGTTCCAAGCATTAAATAATGTTGAAAAGGCAAACTTTCTAGTTTAAGTTGAAATAAATTATTTCTGATATTCGGCTAGGTACTCACTGAAGCCAAGGAACTTTTCTTATTTCTTCTATTCTGTTTCCTGCCTTCACTGCTCTTAAATTCCAAAAGCACGTCATCCAGGAATTGAGTCCCAATAACCTTAACATTGTTTTCCCATCATTTTGAAGGAACTCTTTGCATACAGCAAGGGGAAACTTAGCTTCTTACCAGTGGAACCTTCTCAGAAAAGCTCTTCTTACCACTCAACATTTCAAAATTGAGTTTAACTGGGTTACTTTTCTACACACAGCAAATCAAACCACTTAACTCCTGAAAAGGAGTGGAGAGGTTTCAAAGAAATATTTGAGAACATCTGCAAGAAACAACTGGGACAACCATACCACGAATGAAAAATACACCAATTCCATTTAAGTTATGAAGACATTTTCCCTTAGTGTGTCCAAACATTTCACATTCATGAAGTCATTTATTTTAGAGCAAATCTAAGCTTATAATATTAAATTTTAAAATATTACAATACTTATAAGACAATCGGCAGAGAAAACTACTCCAGGCAGTAGACCTGTAAGTACTCAGCATTTCTGGTAAAAAAAAAAAACCAGGGAGCCAGCATGCAGAGCTTTGCCTGTGTACCATTTTTATAAAGTCTGCACTGCACCACTATGGGATTATGCCAGGATCTTTGCCTTCCACTCTTAAGTCCTCTTCCTTGGTGGTCATGTAGCTCACAACAGCTATCACTTAGACAGTTGCTTTGTCCAGACCCAAAAAATACAGGCTCCATGAAAAATCACTGCACCTGGCTACGAACAAGCCATACCACTTTAAGCTGAAGGAGAGAGAGAGAGAGCAGACCACTTGATCAAATGCTCTGTGTAGCCTAGAAATGGGTCAATGAAGTAAAACTCAAGAGGACCCAAGAATACTTGGCATTTAGTGATCCCTCTTCAAACGGTACCTTCTAGGTCTCAAATCCATTCTCATGGGGTGCAGTCCTGGGTTAGCAAAGGCAGCTCCCTAGTGGATTGTTGGGATACAACAGGCCCTGTGAGTTCCCCTTCTAGATCCAGCAAACTCTAGCTGCGGTTAACTAGAACAGATATTTCACTTTTAAATTCCCCACAGAAATAAAACCTACAACCTCATTTGGTAGTCTTTTGCCCCAAATGCAGTCAGGTTTATAGTCCAAATTCTTTAAGTTCAAAACAAGTCTCTTTGACCTAAATGTCCCAACAGTTCATTATCATCTTAGATTTTTGTTTTAAATCGTTTTTCTTGGGAACTCCTTCATAATATGGGGGGCCTACTACCTGTCTGTTTCCCTAATTTTGAAATAAATCAAGCTTTTATTCAACTTTATAGGCATCAATCCGGGGACCTGACATGCAGTTAGCTTGAATCTAATTAACAATTAGGTCTTGGAACAAGCCTTACATCCATTTTGTTCAAATTACATAAAACCCCTGAAACTAGAGAGTTCTGTCTTTATACGTGGCAAAGCAGGAAACAGAGGGAGGTTAAAGGACTTGTCAGAATTAGTGACAAATTTGAGGCTAAAAGCCAAGTTTCCAGATGCTCCAAATTCAATGTTCATTCCTCTTGACTAGCTAATTTCCCTGGTGCTTTGGCCTTAAAATTTGAATTTTTGATGCTTATAGAAAAGGCGAAAGAGCCAAAACCTCTCAAGAGACAATCAGCTGTGCCAAGATACTTTCATCTGGCTTCCTTTTAGTAAGAGGACCATGTTTAATAAGTTCCCTTTTGAATGGGGCAGCACTGATCTGCTTAAGTGTCCTCTGGGCCTGCCAGCCATAGGTTATGTACTTTTCTCCCCTTGCTTTCCCTCCACATCTGTCTTTAATCTTTGCCACTGTGGCCTCCTCACTGACTTGACAGTTCATTTAACTCCAATGAAACACATCTACAAAATGTCTTTATGTTTACCAGAACATCTGCTGCAAAGCGTCTTCCACAGACTTCACAGGGAAATAATTCCTGATTGCCATCTGTATAGGATCCAAGAGCACATTATGTTAATTTCACAGAATTGCCTGCCCGAGAAGAAATGATTAACTGGAGGAGACCTCAATAGCTTGATATCCTCACTCTCTTTTCCCCTCTCCAACTACTTCCTTCTATTAGGAAGATCCTTTGTAAAACTCACCCGTTTTCCTCTCCTAACCTAGACTTCTCACTTCACTGAACAGATAAAGTCCATATGCTTCAGGCAACTAGAGTATAATTATTTAATATTTAATATATTCTTCAACTAACTGCCTGATAGCTTAGCTTTAGACGTAAGTACAAAGTTGATACCCTAGTATGAAGTCATAAATAATCCAATGGTAACATCTTTTAAGACTGCTACTAGAATGTAAGGCCATGTATGTGCTAAATGAAGGCATGCCATTTTATCATGGACAGTATGAAAAGGGTTGCCTAGTCATTGAATTTACGGTAAACTTTCCTGAGAATGGCTTTCTCTCTCTTGATAAATCTCTTTGCCGGAAAAACTCTTACCTGAGAGGAAGGAAGTAGAAGAGGATGAAAGGGACCAAGTAGAATTGGTGGGCTTTGCTCCAAATCAGGAAAGACAGAGCCAATACAATGGAGAAGCACATGAGGATGATGAACACCATCCCAAGGGTGGTGCTTAGTGCAGGATCTCTTTATGGGGCCTGTGAAGAACATTCACTGCTGATGTTTTATATGCAGTAGAGAATGAGTGAAGGCCTACAATCATAATATGCTCACTACTTGCTATTGCCTTTTTTAAAATATTCAATTATTGTAGTGTTTTCCAAGTTAAATGAAGAATAAACTCAAATTAAAAAAAAAAAACTGACTGACTGTGCCCACTATATCCCAATGCCTCAAAGTACCTGACCCACAGTAAGGTTCTCAATAATTACTTGTTACATGTATGGATCAAACAAGAATTGAGTTTCTACCATAGGACCAATCATTCAATAAATAATTAAACGCCTGCCATATGTAACTCTGTGGGAATACTGAGAGAAACCATACATGGGTCCAGCATAGAAAAGGCAAGTATGTCCATAAATTACTTTAAATGAAGCTAGAAAAGCAAATCATTGTGGAATTCTGAAAAATAAAAGTTTTGTTTCATATTACTGCCTTTCAGTCCATCTGGAGTTGAGTATATAAGATTAAAAAAGCAGTTTGATCATGCAGAAGATTTTGTATTAGACTAACCATTTGGGCTCTATTCTACAAACAAGGCGAGCAATCAAGGACACTGAGTAGGAAGAACCTGAACAGAGCTGTGGAAGATTTATGTGACAAAGCTGAGGAGGGATGAATGGATGGTGGTGAGGATGGAAAGTGGGATATTAGTTAAAAGGCAGAAGATGTAGGCCTGAAATGGAAAGGAAAGAGGAAATGGGAGAAACTGTGGTCAAAGAATCAATAAGATGACTAGATGTGGGGGGAGTTGGGAGGTGACAGAGAGAAGAATGCTGAGGGACTGAGAAGACGGTAGAACTACGGATAGAAATAAAGAATTCGAAAAGAAGGTCCATCTTGTAAGAAAAATGACCTCAGCTTTGGAAATATTGAGTTTGAGATACAGTCATCCAGCCAGCAGGATGGAAATGAGGGAGGTCAGGGCTAGAGACACAGATGTAGGCTTTGTTTGGAGAGTGATGTAAAGGCATGATATTGCCAGGGAAGAGGTCATGGAAAGAGAAGTACAGGGATGATCCCCAGGGAACTCCATATTTAAGGGCCAAGAAGATGATGATGATAAGCCAGAAGGAGAAGCAGGAGAGAACAGGGTCATGGAAACCATGGGAAGATGGTTTGAAAAAGGAAGGCCTGATTAACAGGAATCAGATGGTAGCTCATTACAGACACTGTTGATTTAAATGATTTCTTCTCACATCTGCCAGATGGTATTATATTTGCAGCACAGGTCATCCATTACAGCATACAGAAATACCACTCTTCCTCTCTGTTCTTCTGGCCTTCTAACTTTATAAGAACTGGGTCTTAATTTTCTTTTTTTTTTTTTCCAGCAAGGATATCCCACCTCTCCACATACTTACTCATTAATAAAAGCTACTCATCCTAATTACAAAACTGCTACTTTTTTCTAAAATACTAATGAAGGATGATTTACTTTTATGACTATTACTGTAATATTTGTAGGGTGATTTCCTGTTCCCCAAACACTTTTCCTATGTAATCTCATTTAACTCCTCACAGCAATCCTATGAAACAGGGTTGATACTTTTTTTTTTAACAGATAAGAAAATGAAGGTTCAAGGTTAGGTGACTTCTTGAGGACAACAGGTAGTAAGTAGTAACAATGAGACTCAAACTTGAGTCTCTGTCTCTACAAGTATTAAGACTATTTACTCAATGATCACCATAAATAGAAAGACACTGTATCACTACTAACCTGCAAAGCAAATGGAAGCCCCTGGAGGATCAATGACCTTTGGTTTAAATCAGTGAGTTTTTAATTCAATGCGTTTGAAATAATGACAGATACAATAAGACTCAATTGAACACCTGAGATAGATGGACCACCACATTCTGAACCACATTCAACTTGGAAGCTTGACAGTGAGGAAGAAAGGGAACATGGAGAACCAAACACAGAGATCAACAGAACCTTAAAAGAATCTTTTGAAACAACCAAGATGCCCTTCAATAGGTGAATGGTTAAACAAGCTGTGCTATATCCATACCCTGGAACACAGCTCAGCAATAGAAAGGAACACTACCAATACATGCCACAAACTGACTCAATCTCATTGCTGAGTGAAAAAAGTTAATCTCAAAAAGTCACATAGTGTATGATTCCATTTGTAAAATATTCTCGAAATGACAAGTTTGAGGGGGAAAAGAGATTAGTGACTGCTAAGAGGTAGGGATGATGGTCAGGGAGGGACTATACAGAGGTGGAATGAGGAAGACCTCTGGGTGACGGGACAGTTCTGTATCTTTACTGCGGTGGTGGTTATGCCTGTAATAACATGGTATGGAACTATAAACACTCCTTATACCAATGCAAACTTTCTGGTATTTACACTGTACTGTAGTGAAGATGTAACTTGGGGGAAACTGGATAAAGAGTGCAGGAATCTCTCTGTAATATTTTGCAACTTTTCATGAATTATGTCAAAATTAAAAGTTTACATATCTAGGGGTTGGCAAATTGTGGCCAGTGGGCCCAATCAGAGGCTGCATGATCTTGTAAATAAAGTTGTAATGGTACACCGCCAGGCCCATTTGTTTGTTTATAAAATATCTACTGTCGTTTTCGTGCTACAACAGCAGAGTTGAGTAGTTTTAACAGAGACCTTATGACCTGCAAAGCCAAAAATTATACTTTCTGGCCTTTACGAAGTAGGTTGCCAATGAGTGAATGAGAATGTAGTAATTAAAAATGATTTGTGGGAGAATAACATGGAAAATTTTATTTACAAATAAAGACTGGAAGGATATATATACATATATATGGTACACACACACTACACATTTAATATATAGTAATTACCTCTGAGTGGTAAGAAAAAAGGTGACTATTTCTTTAGTTTCCTAAATTTTCCATTTTTCTATAAAGATTATGCATTGCTGTTAAAAAATAAAAGAATGACATTAAAAAAACCCTTTTGATAGAAAAGATTCTAAAACAATGTGTATTAACTTAGCTATTTCTAACTTTACTCTCTCTAATTGGAGTCTCAGTAGACTATTAAAGTGGCTATTGTTTTTATACATTGGTTCATAATCTTAAGACAATTTTTAAAATGAGGAAAGTGATCTGGAAGTGATCAACAGTTTTGTTTAGTATGTTAACAATGAAAAAATAAGCATTACAAAGATCTCAGTTCAAAAATTTTATAAGAAACCTGGAGAGGATTACGGCTGTAATGAAATTGGAAGAAATTCTACTTGAGACTAGACATTCTCTTTCTGAGCTGGAAGTTAAGAATGCTTTGTAGAGATACCTACCAATCCATATTTCCTTATAAAGGCATTACAGAGAACGAAAAAGGAAGACATTTTCTCATTTAGCTGTCAGTGAGTCAAGAAACTCTTTTTAAGTCCTTTGCAGTCCAGGACATGCAATTAGCAATATTGACATCTTCCAGGGCCTTATGGCAAAGGGGGTGGCATACTAGTTGAAACTTATTATCTCAGGAACATGACTTATAAAAAAAGGAACTGAGACTAATGAGTTAGGATGGCAAAGAGAACATTCCATCTTATTTTTGCTTTCCCCCAAAACACTACAGTAAAGGGATGTAGAAACATGGAGGACCAGGACAGGGAGGAAAGAGGACAAGAATAAAAAAACTGGAATCTGGAAAGCTGATGGACCATGGTAGCCAACCTGGAGGACATAAAACTACATCAAAATCCACTTCCCAGGCTGATGGTAGAAAAAACTGAGAACCTTCCAGATTTACACTGCAGAGTCCTTCAAATTCACAGAAACCCCTGGAGCAGCACATACCTCTGACACAGGGACAGGATACGTGAAGAGGAGGAAGAAGAGATTGCTAAAATATCAGGGAGAAAGTTTTCTAAAAAGAAGTGAAGATTCCTAGAACGCCCCCCTTCATCCCACAGCCCCTGGGTGATTGTCTTTCTCCAATTCTAGCAGAAGTCTACTCTCCAGAAAGGATGAGAGGAGGTCTGTGCATGAGTCAACATGAGGCACAGCTGAAGGCATGGGTAGGCAGATACAGATGTATATACACGTATACATGGTTGAGTCTCATTATTTGTGCTAGTTACATTCCATAAATCCCTGCAAGCACTAAATGAACAAATACTGACTCATTCATTACTCTCAAATAATGCACTATACAAATGGATTTGTATATCAACACACAATCTTGTTTTATGAATTTGTTTAAAGATACCTTATTTAAATATATACATTGTTGATTCAGTAATATTGAATTCACGGCCAACCACACTATAATGCATGCTTGCATGAAGATTATCTAATAGACATATTTTCTCCATAAGGCACATCACAGCCTTCCTGCACTTAGAAGCATTAGATAGCCCTTCAACACTATGCTTGGGAGCCTTTTAAACAGTGAAATCACCAAGAAAAAGTGCAAAATTATGAAAAGCATGGCACGAAGCAGACCATAAAAAGGACACTTGTTTATAGTAGGACAGCTGAAACAAGAAGGCAGAGCATCACCTTGCTCTACCTTAGCTGGGAACATGTGTGTTGGTTGACTCAACTTTTTAACGGGTATGTGTCATATCTGTGAATGGCCATGAAAGCACCATGAATATTGATTTAGGGTTACAAATTTTAGTGAGGAGGTGAATTTGCAAATAGAGATTCCATGATTAATGAGGATTAACTGTATATGTATACACATATATACATACACACACACAAAAGTGTGTGTATATGTATATAATCTAGTGATTAATCTCATGATCAGTGATGCTGGAAGCAGAGAATATCCCACACCCACCTTCCTCTACTTGGCTCACAGAATTCTGCCTGCCAGACCCTTACTCTCAAGGCAGAATGGAAGCTTCCCTGGGAATATAATCATTCCATGGAGAAAGAGCTAAAGATACCGACATTGGGAAGATTCCCAAACAGCTCACCCAGACCACCCTACAAAAAAAAAGCTCAAAATCAACCAATGTTACCCATCCAGAGTTCCTAGTGTTCTCGTCCTCCAATCTTATTCATGAACAAACAGACAGGAATTTCCAAAGATCTGAGGAAAATCTCTAGCATGTAAGCCCAAAGTAAACAAAAGAGAAATTTAAAGGAAAATTAAAGCTCTTAGAAATTAAAAACTCAACAGATAGAATTAGGGAAATCTCCCAGAAAGTAGAGTGAAATGGCATAGAAATGGAGAGAAACATAAGCAAATTAGGAGGTCCAGGAGATCCTACTCCAAATAGGAGTTCAGAAGACAAAAGGTGAAAATGCAAGGAAGAAAATAAAAATAATTTTAAACTATTTCCAGAAGTGAAAGGACATGAGCCTCCTATTTGAGAGGACACCCACACAAATGAAAATATGTCTAGAACAATAAATATCATTGTAAAATTTCAGAACACTGAAGACAGAGATCCTACTTAGAGGAAAAAAAAGTAACATACAAAGTATAAGGAGTGAGAATGGCTTCAGATTTACAAATAGTAAAAACAGAAATAAATGGGGAAAAATTCTCTAAACTTCTGAGGGAATATTATTTACAACCCACAGTTTTATACCCAGCCAAGCTATCAATCAAATATGGGGGTAGAACACATTTCCAGACGTGCAAGCTTTCAAAAAGTTTACATCCCATGTACTCTGTCTCAAGAATTACTGGAGGATATACTCCACAACAAGGTGAGTAAAAGATACAGCAAATAGCCATTCAGTAGAGGAGGGAGAGAAGGGGATTCCCAGGATAACAGCTGGGCACCAGAACTAGAGAAGCAACCAGTTCAGACTGGAGGAGTGGGACTAAAGACACAGACATGCTGAAGGCTGTCATAACCTAGATATTCACTGCCTTTGTAATCTGAGGATAGCATGTCCTATATATATCTGGCTCTCATTCTGTTCTATACTTGGCTTGCTTGACGAAATCCCAGCGAAGTGCCTTCTCACCCTTCATACTCACATGTCTAGATAAGCTGAGGATACTCATTTCACTCCACAGGAAAGTTCTGCACTCATCTCTTCAGAGACAGAGAGAGGTCATAAGTATGGAAGCATAAAATATAAAATGAGCATACAATTGCTAAGCCTAGTTTGGCAGGAGATTCAGGATGCTTCAACTATGGTCACTTGTGTTCCCAGGACTCACTCATCACCTGGCTCACTGACATCACCACACATGGGGCTCTTGTAAACTCTAAGAGCTGAAGTCAGACTCAGAAACTATTCAGCTCATCTTCTCAAGGATGCCTTGATCAAACAGTAGCAATTACTTCCCTCATTGAGCTAGATTTGTGCTTCTCAGTTGCTCAAAACAAGATACTGTGTTTACAGGGATGCCATGCAGGTGATGATTAATATAAAAGTCCAGATAATTCATAAAAGTTACCCAAGGAAAGAAAAAACTGAATAAATTGAGGATTTATTCAAGCCACCTATAGGTGGCTTCTGTGTTCTATTTCTTAACTTGAATAACTTGTTCTACTTCTTAACTTGAATAGCGGGTATGTTTGTTTTATTATACATTCTCCATAAGGCCATTAGAAGTTTTACCTTCTTCTGACCTTTAACTGGAACAAACAAGCTGGATAAAACATACTAATGTCAGCACACAGAAGCACCATAAAAGTACTGATAATCTAACAGTAAAGTTACAAGATAGCTAAAGTTCTGTCCTTCACCTGAGGTGATTTGATGACATCACAACGGAGATGTGGATACATCACTGGTAATAATCACAAATAGTAAGAACTTTTGATACTTAGTTTGACTTGTAAAATAAGTTCCAAAGTATCTGAAAAAGTGACTTTATACCAATCACAGACAGTGCTTAAACAAAATAGGTCCTTAAGATACAGCAGGCAAATTCTTCACGATTTTGCCAACTGTCTGGGATGCCTGAGGTCTTCCTTCTGGCTAACACTGAGGCTACGTCTTTTTGTTCCAAGTTTAAGCAATTCTTTTCTCCTCTAGCTTAAGCAATTCTTTTCTGAATTGTCTATCCCAACTATCCATTCATTTTTATATTTCTTAGTGACCATTTACCAAATGCCAGGCTCTGTTCTAGACCCTGGGGATAAAGTAGTAAACAAAAATACCCTGCCCTCAGTTTGTTCTAGTGAGATGAGACTGAAAAAGAAGATAAAATCAGATGCCAGTAGATGTTAAGGAGAATATAAAGCAGGCAAGGAGCATAAGGAATGCAGAGGAGGGATGTTTGTGCTATTTTTAAATACACGGTCAGGGAAAAGTTTATAGGGGAGGTGACAATTGAGCACCATCCTTAAGGATGATTTATTTACAGCCAGAGCACTTCAGGGGGAACAGCAAGTACCAAGATCCTCATTCCAAGTGGTACTTATCACAGTGACTTGGCATTAGTTATATTTTGCTGCACACACCCTGCCTCCTCAGACAATGCAGTCCTTGAAGGCAAAACCCCCTTATTGCTTTGGTCACCTAACATTTAACATGGAGCTTATGTTAAGTTCCCAACCACTGTTTATATAACTGACATCGTAAATATTCCAAAATGTTATGAAATAATACAAAATATCATGTAAGAACTTTTTTCCAGAATAAAATCAAGATCTTTAAATTTGGAGGATAATCAGTCTAAATCACTATATGCTTCACCAAGACTAGTGGCTTATAGGCACATTCTCTTAATTGCAAAACATACAATGTGTTAATTTAAACCATTTGGGTCAGGTGTGGTGAAATTAAAAGCTCCGAAGATGGAATCTGAAGAGCACCAAGTCAAAGTAACATTCTAGAGTCTTGCTAGTTTTAAGAACCTTCAAATGAGATGGCTACCAAAATAAATGGTCAATCTCTTTAGGATTTAGTACATTCCTGATACTAACATAAACCATCAACTGGCCCTTTGCTTCTGCAGGTTGGCATTTAAATACACACTCTCCAGTATTCTACTTCTGTAATGACAAGCTCTTCAGCCAAGTTTTTTCTATCAGTGTTGGTAGAATACCTAATGCTATTGTTTTTCACAACTCTTTTAAAAATTCTACAATGATTAGATTTAGAACTGATAACGTATAGAACAAGATAAGACCTCCCAGCTGAGGAAAAGCCATAATCAAATTATAGACGAAGACACTTTCTAATAACTTAGATATCAAATGCAGCTCACCTGCTAAGAATGGTTCTGCCTCAGCCATTCTGTACCCAACTCAGACCAACAGTGTCCACAGATTTTTTTTCAGAACAGTCCAGATAACAACATATTAGCCATGGACACATGAACATGGGTCACTAACAACTTGTCTGTTCCAAGAAAGTCACAGTTTACCAAATAATTAACAATTGTGATGTGTCATTGCTCGAACCTTGAAAAAGTTGAGAAGTTAAAAAATCTCATCAAAAAACAGGGAAAGTTTTCAACTATGTATTTTAATCAAGTATGAATGGTTCCAAGCATTAAATAACGTTGAAAAGACAAGCTTTCTAGTTTAAACTGAAGTCAATATTTCTGATGTTGAGCCAGGTACTCACTGAAGCCAAGGAAGTTTTCTTGATTGTTTCTTCTATTCTGTTTCCTGTCTTCACTCTTCCTAAATTCCAAAAACAAGTCAGCCAGTAACTGAGTCCCAATAACCTCAATATTGTTTTACCATCCTTTTGAAATAACCCTTTGCATACAGCAAGGGGAAACTTAGATTCCTATCAGTGGAACCTTCTCAGGGAAGCTCTTCTTGCCACTCCATTTCAAATGAGTTCTTAACTGGGTTACTTTTCTACATACAGGAAATCAAACCACTTAAGTACTGAAAAGGAGTGGAGAGATTTCAAAGAAATATTTGAGAACATCTGCAAAAGGCAACTGGAACAACCACACAAACAAATGAAGAACAAATCAATTCCATTGAAGTTATGAAGACATTTTCCTTTAATTTATCCAAACATTTCATGTTCATGAAGTCATTTATTTAAGCAAATTTAAGCCTATAATATTAAATTTAAAAATATTACAATATTTACAAGACAGCTGGCAGAGAAAACTTACTGGTATAAACACAAATATTGTACTGTTTTCTTTTGAATACCTGCCAGTAAAAATTGCAGAGCAAACAGTTTTATCTCTTTGACGATCCTCGTTCATTATTGTACATAACAAAAAGCCCGTAATGGGGAATGCACCTTATCTGAAATGTTCCACTGTCATAGTTTTAGACCTTCAACATTCTTCTTCAAGTTCAGCAGCTCTCTTTCCTGCCTTCTTTTCTCCAGTTTGAAGGCTAATTTGTTAGCTTTCTTCTCCACTCTCCGTTCCTGTGCAAGAATATGCTGTTATTCAGATCTTCACACTGATGCAGACTGACTTTACAGAAGAAAATTCCCGTGACCACCCCCACCCCAGCTTTCTAAATCTCACATCTGAAAAAATACTTTACCTTGCGCTCTTCTTTTATAGCTTGCTTTCTTGCTCTTTTATCTTCTTTGCTTTCATTTTTAGAACGTGGTTGGGTTGACACCTTAGGCAGATCACTGTCATTAATCATCTGCATTTGTTCAACTTGCTTTGCTGTGAGTCCTTTCTTAGGTAAGACATTGAGAGGTATTCCTGTTTTAGAAGATAGTCGGATTTCTTTGGGCTGGAAGAAAGATCAAATGGCATTGTGTTTTTTTCCACTCCTATTAAAAAACAGCTCACTAATGGCACATTTTTGTTGCTTTTTATAATGGTGTTGCAAGCCACAAAGGGGCTACTGTGAGAAAATAATTTGTACACTCCATTTCCTGCACTGCATATTTCGAATAGCTCAGGACACTAGGACTTACTTACCTTTGGTTGATACTTGATAAGTTGTGGATGGTTATATAAATTTGAGTATGTACCTTAAAAAAACACACACACACAAAAATCATGTATCAATAAGTATACTTTCAGTTCAGCCAAACATTACTGAGTTCCTCCTATATTCCTGACTTTAGTGTTTTCATAGTTCAAAATAACAATGGAGTCTCTCTTATGTTTTTAAATGTTTCAATTACAACTCAATTACTGAAATATTATTTTTCAAAATCATTTTCACAAATATGTACTTTTCCAAAGAAGTTGATGTACCCAATACTTTAAAATTACTATGATACTTTTAGCAGTAAAATGGACACTAAGATACTTACTACAAATAGATTCACAATCCCACTTCTCTTTGGCTTCTTCAAGAACTACAGTAACAATCTCTTCCTCCTCAGACCCACTGAGCTCATTCACTGGCAGGTCCTGATCCTCGAAGGGTTCAAGAGTATTCAGTTTTACACAACTTTTGGTTGAGTTTTCAAAAATGAAGATAGAGGAGGGGAAAAAAAATACCACCCATTATTACACTGTTACGTTACTGAAACTGCACTTAAAGAGCTTAGGGAACTACAACATTTTTTAAAATCCACAAACTCATTTGCCCCATCTGTCACTTCCTGTCAAAATCAGCTCTACTCAGGCTTGCCTCTCCTCTACAGCAGGTTTTGGACATACATTTTGCTGATAGGAAGGAAAATTCTATCTGTGTCTTTGCAAGGTTTTAACACATTAAACAAGATGGCATCTTTCCTATATAACATGATCTTTTTTAAAGCCTTGAAAAGCATCAGCCCATCTGCCTCTTCAAAGTATTCAAATAACTCAAAGAATATAGCCCTTGTCCTGCTCTGGGATGTACATATGATAGTGATCAGGGAACATCAGACCTTTCTAGCAGATGTAAACACTTCATTAGTTTCTCTCAGAGAAATCACCTTGATGTGGATGATGATTTACCAAATATTTGGATAGGAAGTTATGCTAATCAGGCTGCAGAGACAAACTGATCTACTTCTCAGAACACCTTTTTCAGGAAGATGAAGAGTGTATATACTTAGAAGTCAGAATAATTCTTCAGCCAAAGAGGCTAGAAGCACCATCTCCTTCTCCAGGTGGAACATGACCTTGTACTCTAACCCTCAGCTATTCCATCATGACTCTCAGGTCAAAGCTATAGAGAAAGTGGTTCTCAGTATGTTTCCACCCACTGTTATATTCAGCTTCAGAACTCTTAATAGCAAAATGGGAGCCAAAGGTTAAGGAAAACATAATTTTCTAAACATGGATCTTGACTGGGTGATGTTCTAGATTCAGCTGTGCGATTACAGACTTTATTTGAAACGAAAAAAAGGAAGTAATCAAGGAAAAGTCACCGTACTTCTCCGCCTTCTCTTTATAGTAGTCATTCAAAACATCCTCTAAGCGATTGCTGTCTACTTGAATGGAACCTTCCAATTCAGCATTATCCAGAGCTCCAATTTCATCATCATCATACTGCTCATAAAACTTGAATATAAAGAAAAAGGATAAGATGAAAAATGAATGTATTCTTTAAGACTATAGCATTTAAATGGTATTTTTACATTACTTTTACTCCCGTACAATATTTAAGCCCTAGGAGGATCACAACTACCATTTAAGTGTTAGCAGGGATTTAGCACCATAACAGTACGGTATGGAAGACATTCTACTCAGCCCTCTAAGACTGACATCTAGTCTGAATATAGGCTGCCATTTAATATGAAAATGACCACTGACAAATCAAAAAGACAACCTACAGAATGGGAGAAAACTTTTGCAAATGATGTCACCAGTAAGGGATTAATATCCAACATATATAAACAGCTCATGTAACTCAACATCAGAAACACAAAAACCAAGCAACCTAATTAAAAAATGGGTAGAAAACCTGAAGAGACATTTTTCCAAAGTGGAAAAGCAAATGGCCAACAGGCGCATAAGATGTTCAACATCGCTAATCATCAGGGTAACCCAAACCAAAACAATGAGATATCACCTCACACCTGACAGAATGGCTATCACCAAAAAGAATTCAAATAACAAATGTTGGTGAGGATGTGGAGAAAAGGGAACCTTGTACATTGTTGGTAGGAATGTAAATTGGTGCAGCCACTGTGGAAAACAGTACGGAGGCTCCTCAAAAAACTAAAAATAGAACTACCATATGACCCAGCAATTCCACACCAGAGTATATATCTGAAACAAAAACACGAACTTGAAAAGATATGTGCACCCCAGTGTTCACAGAAGCATTACTTATGATTGCCAAGATATGAAGTATCCATCAACAGATGAATGGATAAAGATGTGGTATGTGTGTCTGTACACACACACACACACACACACACAATGGAATACTACTCAGCCATAAAAAAGAATGGAATTTTGCCATTTACAAAAACATGGATGGACTTGGGAGGGTATTATACTAAGTGAAATAAGTTAGACAGGGAAAGACAGATACAGTATGATATCACTTATAGGTGGAATCTAAAAAATATAACTAGTGAACGTAAATAAAAAGAAACAGACTCAAAGATATAGAGAACGAACTAGTGGTTACCAGTGGAGAGGGAAGGGAGGAGGGGCAATATAGGGGCAGGGGATTAAGAGGTACAAACTATTAGGTATAAAATAAGGATATATTGTGCAAGCACAGGGAATATAGCCAATAGTTTATAATAACTATAAATGGAATATAACCTTCAAAAATTGTGAATCCCTATATTGTACACCTCTGACTTACATAATATTGTATATCAACTATACTTCAATTTTAAAAATGAAAATGAAAGGCAGTTATTCTGTTCAGCTTGGTGAACAAAATGCTAGGCAGAAATCTTTACCTCGTAGTATTTCACAGATGTTTTCAAATTCACTGATTATGCAAGCTAAAAGACCATGCAACTAAAGAGCCTCCTGTTTACGTACGAATCTCATTCTGGTTCAGATGATGCTTACTGCATTATTCCAATGCTGTTAACTCCGCTGGGCTTTGTAAAAGAATAAGCAGGGGGTGATACAACTCCTGAAGAGTGAGGTTATTACTAATAGTTTGCCTGTTGCTTGGAGAGAAGAGGGAAATGAGTACTTAGAGAAAAGGCAGCAAAGTCAGAGCCTTTACCTTAGATTCACCTTGAAGGAATTTACTCATCATTTACTTAACAGTCTGAATCCCTGCCATATGCCAGATACCACTTTAGGCCCTGGGATATTAACAGTAAGAAAATCACTCAAAAAAAAAAAAAAAAAAAAGGAAAGCAATGGAATTTTGTTTATGCTCAGGCCAATGCTTGAGGAAGACAGCATAATCTTAGGGACTGGGATCAGAGAGGT